ATCGAGGCTGACCACCGAGCCGTCGACCGGGCTGATCCGGTAGTTGGTGTTGCTTCCCCGGCCGATGAGCCGAATCAGGTCCACGGTCGGGTTAAAGTCGATGGCTCCAGAGACTGGCAACGGCGCACCGATCGGCGTAAGGGCGCCGCTGGTCGTATTAATCGTATAGAGCTGGTTGTTGTTGAAGCCGATGCCGTACAACTCGCCCGTTGAAGGACGGACGTCGATGCTACGCAACGAAAACGTCTCCAACGGATCGAGACCGGCGGGCCGCTGGATCACGACATTCGAGGTTACTGAGCGAGAGTCGCTGTCGATCGTGTAGAGCTGGTTGTCTTGTCCCGAGACAAAACTCGAAATCCCGTAGAGGGTTTCCGCCTGGGCAGAAGAGGCAACGAAATGGGTGGCCATCAAGCACAAAGCGAGGCGGACGCCACCAAATAAAAACCGAGTCATGAGCTGTTCCATTCAGAGTGTCGGGAGGGGAGAGACGGAGCCGTGCAGGATTGCCGACCCTCACACCGTACGGGCTTCACGAAGCGGCAGATTGGCTTCGGCACTAGAATCGCAAAAACTCGGCGCGAAACCCCTAAACTACACCGGTGCCTGAGTCACGGGCGACCTGCTTGCTTGCGCAACAAGCAAGGAATCGTCTCTCGACTGCCATCATTGCGTGGTCGCTCTTCCGCCTAGTTGATCGGAGGGGACCCCTCGAACTACGACCGTGCTGCGCGGCCCGACGGTCGCACGTTGCTCCCTTTGCGCTTCGTCAGTTCGTCGCCCAACTCCCTCCGCGCCTGTTCGGCGTGTCCTTGTAGGCGAGCAACGATTTCCGGTTGCTCGGCGGCGACGTCGGTCGTCTCGCCGATGTCGTTCTTGAGGTCGTACAACTCGAGGCCTGCGCGGGTCTGCTCGTACTCGACCGGGAAGCCGTCCTTGCCGCCGGGACGGCCGGCGAGGGTCCGGTACTGGTGCGGCAGCACGAGCTTCCAGCGCGTGCCGCGCACCGCGCGCAGCTGGCGGTCGTAGTAGCAGTAGAAGACCTCGTGTGGCGACGGCGCGTCGCCGGTCATCACGGGGAGGATGTCCTTGCCATCGATCTTACGCTCAGGCAGCTCGGCGCCGATCATGCCGGCGATCGTCGGCAAGAGGTCCATCGTCGTGGCGAACTCGTCGCACCGCGTCCCCGCGGGGATGCGCGCCGGCCAGCGCATCACACAGGGCTCGCGGTAGCCGCCTTCCCACATCGTCCCTTTACCTTCGCGCAGCGGACCGGCCGAGCCGGCGTGCTCGCCGAAGTTGATCCACGGGCCGTTGTCAGAAGTGAACACCACCAGCGTGTCGTCGCCGACGCCGCCGCGCTCGAGCGCGGCGAGGATTTCGCCGACCGACCAATCGAGCTCCATCACCACGTCGCCGTAGAGGCCGGCGCCGCTCTTGCCGGCGAACTTCTCTGACACGTAGAGCGGCACGTGCACCATCGTGTGCGGCACGTACAAGAAGAACGGCTGCTTGCCGGCGTGGCGGTCGATGAAGTCGACGGCGCGCTCGGTGTACTGCGTCGTCAGCAGGGCTTGATCGGCGGGCGTGAGATTCACATTGACGATCCGCTCGCCCTTATAGAGCGGCAGCGGTGGGTAGTTGCCCCGCCTGCCGTGCTCGAGGTCCTCCCGCCCCGGCGGGTAGGGCCACATGTCGTTGGAGTACGGCAGGCCAAAATACTCATCGAAGCCCTGGCGGGTCGGCAAGAACTCTGGCAGGTGGCCGAGGTGCCACTTGCCGAAGCACGCGGTGGCGTAGCCCCGCGACTTACAGACCTCGGCGATCGTTGTCTCGTCGGGGTGCAGCCCGTGCCGGGCGCCGGGCGACAGCGCGCCTTGGATGCTTACGCGGTTTGGATAGCACCCTGTCATCAGCGCCGCGCGCGACGCGCTACAGACGGCCGTCGCGGCGTGGAAATCGGTAAAGACCCGCCCCTCGGCGGCCATGCGGTCGAGATGCGGCGTCGGGTACGACTCGCAGCCAAACGGCCCGATATCCGCGTAACCCATGTCGTCGATGAAGATCACCACGACATTGGGCGTGGCCCGAGCCGACGTCGCTTGAGCGGTCACGGCAGGCAACAACGCGGCAGCCAGCACAAGGCAGGCCGTTCGGATTAGCGTCGTCACGATCGAATCTCGAAGAAGAAGAAAAGGTGGCGGCGTTCCGTGTCGATGGACAAGAACCCTCGCGCTAAGGATTAGCATTACGGTAGCGGAGATCGATTGCCACCCCGGGTTAGCACCCGGGGCTCAGACGAAACAGCACGTCGCCATCTCGCCGCGTCTGAGCCGTGGGCGCAAGCCCTCGGTGGGCATAGTCCTATGCGTTCAACGCGTAGTTCGGCTCCTCGTCCGCTGGTGCCTGCCCCGTTATCGTCAGCAGTGGGCTGATCCGCTCGGTCGTCACGTGGTACTGCGGGTCCTCGGACACATTGACCTCGACGAGGTCGCCAGCGCGCTTCAGCAACTTACGGCACTCGGCGCTAAGGTGCGTCAGGTGCAGGCGTTTGCCGTGCTGCTGGTACTTATCCGCTAGCGCGCTGATCGCCTCCAGGCCCGACTGGTCGTAGACCCGGGTGTAGTAGAAGTCGATCACCACATCGTCGGGATCGCTCGCAGGGTCGAATAGCTCCTTGAACGAGGTCGCCGACGCGAAGAAGAGCGGGCCGTGGAGCTGATAGATCTTGCTGCCGAACTCGTTGTGCTTGATGTCGACGCCGATGTGCTTGGCGTGCTGCCAGGCGAACACCAGCGCCGAGGCGATCACACCCAGCACCACCGCCGTCGCCAGGTCGTGCATGACGGCCGTGTAGCCGGCGACGAGCAGCATCACGAGGTAATCGCTCACGGGCACCTTGCGCATCATCTTCAGGCTGGCCCACTCGAACGTGCCGATGACGACCA